TGATTGCTGACATCAGATGGATATTGTCTGGAAACAGAGAATACCAGAAAGATGTTTACCTGTGCCTTTATTGACTATATAAAGGCTTTGACTGTGAGGATCATGACAAGCTATGGATAGCATTACATAGAATGGGTATCCCAGAATACTTATTGTATTCATGAGGAACTTGTACATAGACCAAGAGTGAGTCATTCAAACAGAACAAGGGGACACTGAGTGGTTTAAAATCAGGTAAGTGTGTGCCAGGGTTGTAACCTTTCACCATACTGTACGCTAAGTAAATAATCAGAGAAGCTGGATCATATGAAGAAAAGCATGACATTAAGATCAGAGGAAGATTCATTAATAATCTGTGATATGCAGATGGTATAACTTTGTTTGCTGGAAGCAAGGAGGACTTACAATTCTTACTGATGAAGACCAAAGACCATAGCCTTCAGTATGGTTTGCACCTCAAGGTAAAGAAAACAAAAATTCTTTTAACTGGACCAATAAATAACATCGTAATAAATAGATAAAAGATTGTAGTTGTCAAAGACTTCATTTTACTTGTATACAAAGTCAACATTTGAGAAAACAGTAATCAAGAAATCACACGATGTATTTATTGCATTAGGCAAACCTGTTGCACATGACCTCTTTCAAGTGTTCAAGAGTGAAGATTTTTGAGGACTAAGGTATGTCTGACTCAAACCTTGGTATTTTTTTTATCACCTGATTAATATACATGTGAAAGTTGGATAGTGAATAAGGAAGACTGTATGAAAATTTCTATATTTGAATTCTGGTGTTGTAATAGAAAATACCATTTACTGCCAGAAGAACAAACAAATCTGTGTTGGAAGAAGTACAATCAGATTTTTCCTTAGAAGTCAGTATTGTGAGGCTTCATCTCTGATACTTTGGATGTGTCAGGAGGGTCCAATCCTTGGAGAAGGACATCATGCTTGTGGTAAAGTGAAGGGTGTAAAGAGGAAGACTCTTAACGTGATAGATTGGCACAGCGGCAGCAGCAGTGGGCTCAGGCATAATAACAACTGTGAGTATGGCGCAGGTACCAGGTGGTATTCCGTTCTGCTCTGCATGGGTTCGCTATGAGCTGGAGCCAAGTTGAAGGCACCTAACAATACCATGAATTAATCTAAAAACATTATGCAAAATGAAGGGAGCTAGGTGTGGTGCTGGTGTTAATGTGCCAGACTGCAAAGCCATTTGAACTGCAGGGTTGGTGGTTCAAGCTCACCAGTTGCTCCTCAGAAACCCTGTATGGGTCGCTATGGGTCAGAACCAACTCGATGGCACTTAACAACAACAACAGGCACAAAAGACTACATATTTCATGACTCAATTTATAGTTAGTGTCCAGAAAAGGCAAATTTACAGAGACAGAAAGCAGAAGGGTGGTGGGACTGGGGATAAACTGCAAATAGGCTTGAGGGAATTTAAAGAGTGATAGAAATGCTGTAAAATTGCTGTGGTGATGGTCATACAGTTCTATAATTTTACTAAAAACCAGTGAGTGGATTAGTTTTATGTATGTAAATTATACCTTAATAAAATTTTCTGCTACTAAAAAATGGGCTACTAGGTTCGTTCTGCTGTGCATAAGGTCACTATGGGTCGATACTGATTACATGGCACCTAACAACAACAACAGGGAGTTTTTAATTGTTGGGAAATTAAATGCTGAAATTTAATAACTTTTTCTATGTATATTCAGTGCAATTAAATTGGTGCTTTCTTAGGTGCAGAGACTATGGAACAGTCTTATGTTGTGGTTTTGACTTTAATTTTGAAGCATTTGTTTTCAGTATTGTTAAAGATTCTGGTTATACTGTTACTATGCCACATTTCTAAAGTGACTTATGTTTTCCCTAATTTAGTGGTAAAACTAAAACTCTTATTTATTACTTATACTTTCCATTTTAGATACTTATTAACATATTTCCTTATTTTCAGTTTTGCCTGATGTCATTAAAGCCATTGATAAAATCAAAGATGAAAATATGGATTGTAGGGATTTGAATACTTGTCTTCAAAATTTTGGAGTTTATCTTTCTAAACCGGAATTTGAGAAGATCCAAGCGTTGACTCCAGTAGATGGTAAGTGATACACTTTCAGGTAAACTAGATCTACACTTCAGAAAGGAGGTTCAGCTTATAATTTTTTCCCCTCAGAATAATGATTTTATTATTTTAGGAGAAATTCATAAATATTAAACCAGTACTGAAAAGTTAAAAAATACTCTGAAGGATGGAAACATTCACCCAGAATCACAGTATCTAGAAATAACTAGTACTAAGTCCTGGTGTGGCGCTGTGGGTTAATGCTCCAGTCTGCAAAGCCATTTGAACTTCGAGGTCAGCGGTTCAAGCTCACCAGCTGTTCCTCGGAAATCCTATTCAGAGTCTCTGTGGGTCGGAACCGACTTGATGACACTTAATAACAACAACAATACTCTTTTCTGAGTTCTGGTGGGGTGCTGTAGGATAAGCTCTAAACCATCAGGGCTCCTAATAAAGGAAATGGAAACCAAAAAATTAACCCACCTTTCTTATGGAAAATACAAATTGCTATGTAGAGATACAAATTGCTAATAATCATAAGAAAAGATGCTAGTAATCAAGCTTGTACAAAATTTAGGTCACAGTGAAATACATTTTCATGCCAAGTAGGTTTGCAAAAATGAGCAATGTTGCTAATGATATGGAGTCCTGGTGTGGCGCTGTAGGTTAATGCGCCAGACAGCAAAGCCATTTGAACTGCAAGGTTGGTGGTTCAAGCTCACCAGTTGCTCCTTGGAAACCCTATACAGGGTTGCTATGGGTTGGAACCAACTCGATGGTATATTAACAGCAACAACAACAAACATGATCTAAGTGAAAAAACCACTTTGGAAAACAGTATGTGGTATCCTCTAAACTTTTTACACTCCATGGCTCAGAAATTTCGTTCTTAGCTATAAATATATGGTACTGTAGGATAAGCACTGGACTGCTAACTGCAAGGGTTGGTGGTTCAAACCCACTAGCTACTCCTTTGAAACCCTATACAGTGTCACTATGAGTTGGGACTGACTTGATGGTATAACACCACCATCACTTGCATTCACAGACCAGGAGATATGCTCAAGAATGTTCACCACAGAACTGATCTCAAAAACAAAAACTAAACAAACAAAAAAGGAAACAACACAAATGTGCAGGTACAGAATGTATAAATGGTGGTGATGGTGGTTGTGTGAGACTAAGTTGGTTCTGACTCATAGTGACCACCCTGTGGAGGGTTTCTGAGGAGCAGCTGGTGGGTTTGAACTGCTGACCTTGTGGTTCATAGGCCAGCGCTGATCCTACAGTGCCACACCAAGAGTCCAATGGAAAACTATACGCTAGTGAAAAGGAACTATAACTATGTATGAAACTATGGATAGTTCTTAGAAATACAATATTGAATTATATTGGAAGCCTTAGGTTGTATAAAGTTTGATACCAACTTTTATAAAGCTAAGAAGCAAGAAAACTAAAGAATAATCTGTTATGTTTAAGATTACATATAAAAAAGAGATTGGTAAATTAAAAAAAAAAAGATTCAGAAATGTTTTCTTCGTGGGGAAAGAAAGAGAATGAAATGGGAAGAATCCAGAAGCAGATACAATGCTAATGAGATTGTTTTTCTATTGGGTCGTGAGTTCACATTTGTGTATTATCATGTCTCATAATTCATGTATGTTAAAACTATTGTTATAAATTTTTTTTTTATTGCTTTAAAAAGTAACATATTCTTGTTAGGGAATGTTACATTTTCATTAATTTTCACCCAGAAATTTTTAAGGTCATTTTTTTAGGTCTCCAAAAATTTGGCTATGAACACAGAGTAGTTTGGTATTCCTTGAAGTAAATTGCTCAGAGGAATATTTAATCTGTCCTGGGAATAGGCTGTGCTTCATCTTTTATAATTGCTGTCGAATTTGTTTTCCAATGGGGTGAACAAAGCACCTGGGTAATCAAAAGCTCATCATACCTATGGAAAGCCTTTTAAGAATTAAAACATTTATTTTAATATTAGAATCTTATTGGGAATTACATGTTTCCAAGGAGGAGATTTTCTAAGTATAAAATTATTGCTAAAATGTTTCTTTTCCTTTCTTAAGAACCTCATTTGTGATTTGTTCATTTCTTGCATTTGAAATATTCTTCTATGATATTCTCGACCTCAGATTTTTTGGCATAACACTTAAAAACCACACAACTACTGCCAACCACTTTACAGGGTTTTCCTTCTGCTAAATTTTGCAGCGGTCACTTAGCAACAGCCAACAACACACTTCCCTATTTTGTTGTTGTTATCAGCTTTAATCTGGGTGATTTGATGTTCAGCATAAAATGCTTCCACTAACTTGACATACATAGGCTCATCACAGTTGGATGCAAACACACAACAATGGGTTTGGTATTTGCCAGTACACTGGAGTGAAGATCTCAACATTGTGTGTCTAGGTAGCCTGGTGTGGAAGAAAGCAGAAGTCAAGAGAAGTTGCTTCTAATCCCTGATCTTTTGTTTCCTCTGTGACCTTGGAAAAAGGCACATTATCATATAAATGATTTTAAATAACATTTTGATAAATTATTTTGAATCTGTAAAAGAATATGCTAATGATTCATCTACATATTTTATTAAGTTGTTGTAAGGTCAAGACAAGATAATGCACTTGTATGTTAAAAGTTGAAAATGTTGCACATGTGAAAGAGATCCTAATGATTTTGATTAATTTCTTGTTGATTTTTGCCTACAAGTCAAGTTGCGGTTTCCCTTAACATCTATATGTTTTTATTGACAAATATCAGTTGGTAGCTATAAATATGTTGGTGGAAGCTTTCAGCTCCTGAAAAAGATTTAAAACCCTTGGAAGCCCTATACAGCATTGGTATGAGATGGAAGTGACTCAAAGGCACCAAACAACAATATAGTTATGTTAGTTCTATATTCCAGAATTTATAGCTTGTTTTCACATAGATCAGCATTTGTCTTAGTAATTAATACTTAATGATACTGAAGAAAATGTGTTTCTCTTTTAGAAATGAAAAAAGTGCATTTTAAAGAATTCGCAGATAATATGATGAAGAACACGGAGCGCTTCTCTGAAAAATTATGTAAGAACATCTTGCCTTGTGCTCTATGTAGATCAGACAGTTGGTTTGGTAGATTTTAGAAGAGTGAAAGCCAGCGTTACTGCTGCTACATTTGGCCTTAATCATCTCCATGATCTACTCCTTACGTCACAACTTCCACATGCAAATTGAAAGTCACTATCATATACTTTTCACCCTCTCACTTTGTCATAGGGAGCAAGAACCATGTGAGACTTTAAAACCACGTGGCAGATTTAAAATGTCTTCCTACTTTGAGAAAGTGATACCATCTAGTGGCTATAGCTGAGCATTAACAAGCAGAATTTCTGGTTCCAGCTGTTTGCAGTTTTTCGGATTTATTCAGGAATATTTAGTGGCTGGGTTAATGCACTGGACTGCAGGGTTGGTTTGAACCTCAAGATGGGCGGTTCAAGTTGATCAGCTGCCCCTTGGAAACCCTATACAGGGTTGTTATGAGGGGGAACTGACTCGATGGTATTTAACAACAACAACAACAATGTACCAGGCTTTATATTAACTTGTGAGTGTGCTAAGATGAAAATAACAATTTTTGCCATAAGGAAGCTCACTGTAAAGAAATTTAAGGCCATGTGCATTCTTAATGGAATAAAATCTCTATACTCTATTGAGAGAAGTTAGAACTTTAGAAATGTACAACCCTGAATGAGCCCAATTATCTGCCATCTAGTTGTAGCTAACAGCATTTCTGGGGAAAAATCACACAGCTTGAGCAAATTAAAGAAGTACCACGGAAAAATCCTGGTCATAAATGTCTGCTGACCCTCAATACAAAAAAAAAAACAAACCCAAAAACCCAACACCAAACAACCCCAAACTAAAACCCCAACCACTGAATTCATTCCAACTCATAGTGATCCACTAGGACCGAGTAGAACTGTGTATCTGTACGGAAGCAGACTGTCACATATTTCTCCTGCGGAGCAGCTGTTGGTTTCGATTCATCAACGTTTGGACTAGCAACTGAGGACTTTAGCCACTGGGCCACAAGAGCTCTTCTGACCGGCAATGTATAGGGTTTCTGAGGAGTGGCTGTGAGTTTGAACCACCAACCTTGTGGTTCAAAGTGACCTTGCTTATCCTACAGTGCCATACCAGGCTCCTCAATACTACCCAGGAATTGTGTGATTTTTCTTTTATTCAGTTAGCTCATTCTCCTACTCTCTAAAAAAAGTCTTTAAAAAATCTCCATTCTCCTCAAATTTCCACACTACTTCTTGTACATTTAGATTTTGCTTTTTAAAGAGTAAATGGAAGCCATCTGATAAGAACTACCACAACGTTTTAAACAATGCTAAATTTCTAAACATATTTAAATATTTCTCACTTCCTCTTTTGAGGTAATGGAAAGGTATTCCTTTTCTTAGTATATGCCATTCTTCCCTCTGTGCTTGGGATCATTTCATTTTTCTCTTGCCTTAGCCTCTCAGCCAACAAATAGACAGATAAATAGTGGGGAAAACATCACTAGGGAGGAATGTACATCATAGAAGGTTCAACCATTTGAGATCAAAAGGGTACCTACCTGAGAGGAAAATTCGAATGCGTTGAGAGAGAAGGCGGAGTGGACATGGGAAACACAGGGAGGAAGTGGGGGAGGTGATGTTGTTACATAGAGGGAACTGCAATCACTGAGATGAAACACACACAAAAACTATGATTTGTTGAATACAAAACTGATGATCTGCTTGGTAAACCTTCACTCAATTCACAGTCAAAAGTAAAAAAAAAAAAAGAAAAAGAAAAAGATTAAAAAGAAATGGTCCTGGGACAAGTGGATTTCCACAGGCAAAAAAATGAGCTTGGAACTATACCTTAGACCATGTTGTTGTTGTTAAGTGCCGTTGAGTTGGTTCTGACTCATAGTTAACCTGGGTAGAATATCCAGGAGTGGTTGGTGAGT